TTTCCAATTGGTGTCGCGATATGATACACCGATTTGGGACAAGTTTGGGAGATCTGATTGGAATCTATGCAATACTTGGGAATATTTGGGAAATTTCCATGCGGGAATGTTTGAAACATGAGATTCTAAGTGGAGAAGCCCACAGTTGTTTCAATATTTTTACTTTAGTCTTCATTTTATATTAATATTGAATACACGTATAATATTGATAACACGTTGACTTCTACATAATCTTTTCCTTTTATTCAGTCAATTTCATTCAATTTTTCATCATTTAGTAAAATACTCGAAATATTTAAAAAAATATTTCATTTGCGATTTTTTTATTTTAATTATAATAATTAAAAATGAGATTCCTTGTTTGATATAAAAATTTAAAAACATTATCGATTGAAAAAAACGCGAGTTTTCATGGTTTCGATTCTAGACAGAGAATCCATGTCTGGAGAATGAAATTCTTGATTGGCATCGCGGAGTGAGACAACCAGTTTTGAGAGCATTCAAATTGAGAGCAACCAAATTTGAGCATTCTGATCGGAATGTGTGCCGCATCTGGGTAAGTCCTGGGAAATTTCTATGGATATGTGTGCCACTTCGTGTCGAGCAACGTCGGAGAAGCGTACACTATGTATCCTAAATTAAGGATTCAGAATCTATGCCAAGGAATGAGCGAAAATTGCGCATTGGCGCGCTACATATCCGTGCGGGGCCGGACTCCCGTCGGGGAACTTGCGGAATTCAGCGGGCAACCGAATCCGAAATTCGAGATAGCTAATTCGCCGGCGTTTTGATTCTTAACTCTTTAACTAGCCACGAATGGAGCGCTCGACTGCGTTTTAACGAGCCAAATGAAAAGGAAACAATAATTACGGTTAAACAGAGTAGCCGCGGAGAATAACATTTCGTTTCTCGTGTGCGTACTCGCGTTGAATATTCGCTGCACAGCCCGCCACCCCCGCGGCATTCATGCACGGTGAGAGTGAGAGGAGAGAGAGAGAGAGAGAGAGAGAGAGAGAGAAAGAGAAAAAGAGTACACTTGCGCGCACGCGGTGGCGGGGCTGAAAACGCCGAATGAAAATTAGATACCCCGAAACGGGGCTCGCAGTGTGCGTTAGCCGTGAGCGCGCTAAAATATCACAATGGCACGGCAGGTGCATTTACCGGCTCTCGCCGGTGCTTTGACGACAGTCGCCAGATAGCTCTTTCATCCGGTAATTAGCCGGAGAGCTCGAGGAGTTATCACCTGACGCGATCGTGGCTGTGCCACGCGCGCGGCCCGTCTACCAGCCATTCGGCCGCCTCCATTCCGGGCGCGGAACGAAGCGGGGTGCCCACGATAGTCGGCGGCGGCGGCGGCGTGTCCGTCCTTAATTAATTAACGCCGCGTCGAATAATAATTATCGAAATGAAAGATGATATCGCCGGGCTTATTTATTGGTACACGATGATATCGAGCCAACGTATAATCCGCCAGGCCGCCTACACCACCAACCCCTACTACCTACTACGGTAGCGCGACGCCACGCCGCCTGTACGTGTGAACGTACTTTATGTTCGCCCCTCGGCTGCGCCGTCGGCCGATAACGGTATCTAAACGCGGTTCTCCTAATTGATACGTGAATTAATTCGCCCGGGAGAGCGGCCTGGCATTTTTAATACCGCGGACGCCACTTAATTACGGCTTCTCGGAGTCTCGCGACCCCCGAGACGGTTTGCGATTTTTATCTCTATAGACTATAGTCTATAGTGGGGGATAAGTATGGCTGTAAAAAGTAAGAAATTGATCAATCACAGTCGAATGTGAGAAGAATAATCGACTGTGATTGGTCAATTTCTTACTTCTTACAGTCATACCTTATTCCCATTAGTCCTTATCCCGACTGCCTCCCTGTCGTTCGTCTCGTTTGCGCTTTCACCTCTTTCTCCCTCCCTCCTTCCGTTGTTGCACAGATCACCGCGTCGTTTCGCGACGCGCCGCCTTTTGTTGTTTCATTCAAGTTGCTCTCGCTGGTGGCAGCTCGCGCGCACACGCGAGGCATCCAAGATAAATTGCATTCTACGAGGATTCAATCCGACCGGGGGAATGTTCGAAGTCAGAGAGGAGAGCGTTCGCGCGGACGCCGGCGGAGAAATAAAAGAGGCGCGAGCGTTTCGACGCGCTCACTCGCTCGCTCGCGCGACTACCAGCGGGAAAAAGAAGGAAGCGGCGTGGAGAGCGATTTTGTATGAAGGGCAGGTCGATTCCAGACTCGTTAGGCCAGCACAAACCACAAACCGGCGAAGGGGGATAGGGAACACAGGAGGAGGAGGAGGAGGTTGCCGCCTCGCGCCACGGCGAAATACGCAACGGAATGGAACGTCCTCTCCCTCTTTGCATGCGAATTTCCTCGATATTAAAGCCGGAGCAATGGGATTGCGACGATTGGTGTGGCGTGCGGCGATCTGCTTGGTGCCTGGACTCCCGATAATTATGTGCCAATTAAATTTAACGACTGTCCATTATTCCGGTCTGCGAACGCTCTCGTGCGTCGCTGCTCTCTTGCCCGTCCTCCCTCCGTTCCTCGGCCTCAGCCCTCCCGTAATGCCGATCTCGCCGCTGAACCCCCGCTTCCGCCTCCCCCTCTTCCTCGACCGTGCAGCCGCGCGACCGAATCGGCAACAACTATCATCCGGGGTCGCAATCCAATTACTTTTTAATATTATCGGGGTGGGCCTGGAATCGAGCTCTCTCTCTGCCTTTGCGGAACGTCGCGCGACCACATTGTAAAACTACGAGGAACTCCCGCTGGCAAATAAATGCTTCCGGGCCAGCTCGGTCCCTCTCTCACATACGTCGTTGTCAGGAGCGGCTCTCGCTCGCCGCGGCTCGCCCCCGTCGCTATCAAATGGAATAAAGTGCCAGCGACCAGTTCCGAGGGAAATTGGAAGTTCGAGGCGTAATTCGTTACGATCAATCGCATAATTCGAAGGAAATGGGAAGGAGGTATAATAAATATTCGCGTCATATCATTTAGCCCCTCTGTCCCTTGGAGTCTGAGAGGGGAAGAGGTTGAAGGTGGGGAGAGGACAATGCTCTTCCGGCGACTGCGGATTAATTTAATTTCTCGTTGTATTTGATTTTACCATTGTGGTTAATGTTGTGCTCGTTGTCCCCCTCGTGTCGCGGAGATCATCGAGATTGCGAGCGCGAGTGTGTGCGAGAAGCGCCTGGTATTCACTATTAAAGCATCCAATTTCATGCTGTCTACTCGTGTAATTGTTTTAAAAGTACGTCTCTCTTTGTTGCCCTTCTGCCGGTTGCTCGTTCTCGTTAAGAATTCAAGCGTTTCAACCGCAGATTAACCCGCCATCGGGCCCGCCGTGTGTTTGCCGCCGTTTTCCAGGCTCATTAAAAGAATGGACCGAACGTGTAGAGCGGGCTCTCAGCTTAATTACTGTTGCAGATGTAAAACATATTTAGGGAATAATATTTACACGCCAATATAATTATCGGCTAATTTATGTGAGCGCCGCGCTGTTTGTACATCATCGTGCCGATTTGTTTATTCCGCGGTGCGCCTCCGTCGCTGAAATTGCTATTTAATGGATGGATAGGTTAGAGAGAAGATAACTTGTTATCGAAATATGCATCGGAGTGTAAAGAGCGAAATAAAACGTCGCGGCGACGCTCAAGGCATCCGATATTCCGAAACACGACGAAAGGAGGTGAAGAGCGAGGGGGGAGGGGGGGAGAGGGCAGACTCATGTCCAGAGGAGGGATACGCAATAGCATACGCATTATTCTCTCATCTCTCAAATGCCAGTCATTTCTAGGTTTCACGTTGCCGAGCCGGAAGTGGTTTTCTAGGGAGAAGTCTTCCGCGCATACAGAAATCGCGGCTCAGCCTGATCAATTTGTGTTCCACAATGAGACGAACTGCAGTACTTTCTCACTCCAGCTCGTCCGTCAATTCGCGAAGGTACACACACTATTCAGGATTGTCTCGCGAGCCGCGAAAGCCACGCGAATGACGACGACGCCGTCGACCGACAGTTGGAAACTCGAATGCATTTACGTTGACCGTATCTACGACTCACCGTCTCGCGTCACATCATGCAACCGTGTGCAGACGCAGTTCTCCGTCTTATAAGTAATAACAGCATGCTTATTGAAAATATGGACACTTTTAATGGAAATCTTACCATCCCCTATCTAATGATAAAGTTCAGAATGCCGCCACGTCTGTTGAGTAGATGGCAGCAGGCAAGCTTGATATCGTAAATTCTAACATTAAGTTTAGGGATTCGTGTTTGCGGAAATGGATAAGGTGCTCGTCGTCGGGACAGCGAGTACAAGGGAGAGTAGGTGAGAGGGTGTGTGTGTGTGAGATAGATAGATAGATAGATAGATAGATAGATAGAGAGAGCACCAACACAGAATGACCACTAAACACCTAACAACCAACAATAGCAGTCAACATCGAACATCGATAAACCAACGAAACTTAACCACAATTCACATCGTAACGGAATTCAGCGAACAGTGAAGACATAATTCACCAATACATATATATATATATATGTTTATGTGTGGCTGGGCGTGATGTATGTGTGTATAATGTGGATATATATGTATACATGTAAATGCAAAACGTATACACAATGTGGGATGACACGTGTGAATACGTACGTGCACACTAAAAATGCCTCTGCCATAGCACGACGTTAAGGAGGTGCTAGGCGATGCGATAATTTTGAGTTACGAGATTTGCGAGATTCGCACGACGCGAAGAGTCCAATGGGATCGCCAATAGACAGAGCACTCTCGGGTCCACGTTCGTTCAGTGGCGAAGGCAGCTCACGGCCCCCCTCTCCCCTTCCTTTCTCCCGCAGGATATCCCCATCAAGACACCAATGGAGAAATATACTAGTGTGGAGCACGATTAACGTAAAAAGAGTGAAACACGTTAAAACTTAACGACACATCTTGAGAGACACCGAGTAGGGATATGGTGACGTACCACATCGAGTACATTGAGAACGTGGTTCACGCGGACGACACTAGTAGTAGTAGGTAGTAGTAGTAGTAGAAGTAGTAGTAGTAGAAGTAGTAGTAGTAGTAGTAGTTGTTGTTGTTACATTGTGTGTTGTGGTCGTGGCAAGAAGAAGAAGAGATGGAGGAGGTGTGCGGCGCCCCCGGCCAGCCGGTCGCCCGTCACACCCTGAAACAGAATAATATCGTCACACTCCCTTGCGAAGAAAAATGCCGCGTCTCTCCCTACCGACTATCTCTCTGCCAGCACTGTCTGAACATAATTCATCCCGTTAGCGTTAACATCGCGGCTCTCCCGCGATCACGGAAGCACGTTCGTTGGCAGTTAACCCTTTGTCGCCCGTTGCTGCCTTGAAGCAACATCGAGTTCAAGTCGTGCCACAAACTAATCGATATTTTTCTCCATCAAACTGTCAAACGTTGCTGGCAACACTATCTCTCGTGACTTTAGGCGGGATTTTTTATATCTTATCACCAGTCGTAGTGATAAAATCAGTGAAGTCTCTCCTATTCCGAGGCTGACCGTTCTATAAGTAAGTGCAATTTACTAATATTGCACTTACTTATCATATAAAAGTAAACTTTGCGAAATATTCTCGTGTATTATCGCAATGTTTGAAAAGTAGAAAATTATTATTACGCGGAATATAGTTTGTATTGAAACTAATGCAGCATATCAAAGAATCGTTTCTTTGAGGCAACATTTTAATTTTTCCATAATGGTTGATTGGAAAATTAATAAAAAAACAATCAGATCTCTCTATACATTGCTAGGAACAATAATGAGTGAAATTTCTTTTCTGCTAACAGAGTATTAAATCGGGACTCAAAGAGTTAATACAATATAATGACGAGATCTCGTGGCAGGACTGGAGATTTGCGACAATCATTCGTTTCCTTCGTTCGTCAATGAAATATCGTTTCAATTGGCAACGGATGCTCGATGATCATCGCCAACTTTTCCGGCTTTCTCAAAGGTCCATCTTAAATTGAAGGATCATTGCAGGGGGAACGATAGGATCACGGGATACGTGTCGGTCGTGAAAATTGCTGCTTGGTGAATTTATTCACGACATTCGCACTTATCGAGACAGATACGTACGTCCGGCGTACGTAGTTCCCGTGAGTTGAAATTGAATTCCACCGTTGACGCGCGCATTTCCGCGTGCGAGAACCCGACCCGATAGTGTCAATTTCGTTTGTTACAGCTCGGTTTTATCGGCGGCTCCGATACTTTGCTCACACAGGGTGAGCCGGTCTCGCAAAGTCTCGCTGTGTGGAGGGTCCAAGTCGAAAAAAGAGACGGAGCTTTATATCGAGGAAAAGGGGATTTCGGATTTGCTGGACCGTGTCCACCCAGCATTGCATCGTTTACGTCTAACACGAACGAACGAACGAACGAACGAACGAACGAACGGACGAACGGACGGACGGACGAGCGCGCTCGCGCGACTGTACACGCGAAGGAAAGGCAGAAAGTTGGCGGAATAAGAGGGAGAGAGAAAGAGTGATGACGGTGGGTGAGAGGGGAGGCTTAGAAACGAGAGCAGCGACCGGGATTTTAACGTCGAGCACACTCGTTTCGAGTCGATAGGTCCACTTCGGCTGGCTTGGGAAGCAGTCGACATGGTCCAACAACTTCCTCTCCGGCTTCCACCTCGTCCCGCGCCCTCCATCGCGCGCCCTTTCGTCCATCTAGCCATCATCTTTGTAGTAGGAAACAGGGCGTGAGCGCTGGAAGTTTTCATACGTGGCGCGCTCACGCAACTGATAAAAACCGACTCTCGACCCGACTCTCCCTCTGTTAGGAAGCGACTGCGGAGTTTTCTCGGACCACTTGTTAAGAAGCGCTCGCCCGGGGTGGCGTTAACGATTTCTGCGCGACAACTCAAATATATGAATACAGGGTGTCCGACAATTCCTCATGCAGCTGCAGTGTACGAATAGAATTCGTCTCGAACACAAAAGGTTTGTTCGAGTTGTTTGTACTATTCACACTTTTACACCTAATGCCCGTTGCACACTACTGCACCCCAAACAACACAAATTTTCCAATACGTTCTGAAGACGCTTTTAAGAGGGATGTCATCAGAATATTTTTAGGACGTTCTTTGAAGGTGTGAGCTGTCTGAAAATAGCTAATATCCAATAAGTTTATTCGCATTAATTAAACTTTTTACATTTTCACATTTAGTGCATATTAATTCTTTAAATGTTCTAAAAATGTTCTAAAATTCTTTAAATGTTCTAAAAATGTTCTTTAAATGTTCTAAAAATGATGTTCAGAACGGACATCATGATTTCCGTTCGTGTTACGAGCGTAAATGCAATTCCGATACACTTTTTCCATTTTCCCGAGCAAGAGTGAAAAGTGTATCAGTTTGCATTTACACTTGTAACACGAACGGAAAACATGACGTCATTTTTAGAACCCCTAAAGAATTAATGGGCACTAAGTGTAAAAATGTAAAAACTTCAATTAATGCGAATAAACTTATTGGATATTAGCTATTTTCAGACACCTTCAAAGAACGTCCTAAAAATATTCTGGTGACATCCCTCCGTCCTAAAAGCGTCTTCAGAACGTATTTTGAAAAAAATTGTGTTGTTTGGAGTACACTAGTATGCAACAAGCATCAGATGTAAAAGTGTGAATAATACAAGCAACTCGAACAAACCTAAAATTCCTCTACCATTTCGCAAACGTACAGGTAAAATTTTGAATTAAAAATCGAAGATCGTTGAATGATTACGCGCGATAGATGAGTTTGCTTTTATGTACATTAGGTCAAACTGAATGAAAAAGTCCTCTATCGTTTTACAAATAGTCACGTAGATTTTTATTAATCAAAGAACAATGATGCGTTATCGCGCTCGATCGTAATCTTCTTTAATTGATAACTAAAAATGGCCATTTGCAAAATGGTAAAGAACTTTTTTGTTCAGTTTAACCTAATGTATGAGACAGACATAGTCATTATAACTCATCTACCGTATCTATCGAGCACGTGATCGCTCACTGATCTTCTCTGATCTAATAACTCAAGATTTTACATGATTGTTGTAAATGGTGGAAGAATTTTATGTCCAATTTGATGAGTTCTATTGCGGTTGCAGAACGAATTGCAAGACACCCTGTATACACGCGCACGCGCGCGTTAAAGGAGCTGTCACATTTTCCGACGTGAATCGAGAAATTACAGCGCGACACTCAGTCAAGCGAGAAACGCGACAAACGGCGTTGGCGAATAAGCCGCGTGACGTAAGAGACTCACTCGTGAGAGTCGCAGCACGTGTTTCGTCACGGTGAGAGAGGAATACGCAAGGTTCATTCAAGTACAAAAAGATCCGCTTCCTGACGGCGTAGATTCCGGCACGGCGATGGCAAAATATGATGATTACCTCCGGGTATTTAAGCAAAGACCGTAGGAATCCTTGTTCGTCGCAATATAAAGGAGTTAAATATTGTCGCAACGTGCCTCAGCATAATCCGAGTGATAACGATCCCGCGGTCGGATAAAATGATCTTCATTCCCGATAAGGGCGAAACAGAAGAAAAATTATTGTTGCGCCCGAGACGGCACAGTTATTTTATATCCAGGTGCTTAAAACAGTTACGGTACGTTAAAACAGTTTTCTTTCGGGAATAGTGAGTTCGAGATGTAATCGGGGAGAATTTTCTCCGCTACGGCACGTACTCGGTATTATTAAAATCATTGTTCGCGTCTGCCTCCCCGAATTTGTACGAAAATAAATAGGGCGCCTGCTGGAGCAGAGGGTTGTATTATTTTCGAGGGACGGGAAAAATGGGTTTGCTCACACACACACATACACACAGCGCAGCGAATGTACGGATACGAATAAGCGAAAATATTGCGTGGGGAAAGAGGCGGCATGGGAGGAGGTAAAATTTAGAAGAGAGATGCCAAGAGAATAGGGGTTAGTGAGTGAAGGACAACGTTAGCGAGTTTACTTTGTATGCCACGCAGCGGGAACTTCCATCCAGCTGTTATAGCCGCGCCTTCTTTAGTTCTCTTCTCGATGGAAACTCACTCGTGAGCGTAAACTTCCGCTTGCCGTGCACGCGAGTGATTAAAAAGCAAATTAAATGTAATTTACTCCCATGATGTAAAATTAATGATCGCGGCGTAATTATAAAGGAAAACAAACACGAATGCGAATTGTGCATAAGAAGAAGAATCCGCATAGAAATTGCCCAAAATTTTCCCAGGTACAACATAGATTCCAATTAGATCGCCCAAATTCGGCTCCAAAATTGATTATTCCACTACAATGCTAATTGGGAGTCTCAAGCATGGGTTCTCGGTATAGAATCGAAACAGAAATACTTTAGGATGCTATTCTTTTTGGTTGGTAACTTTTATAATATCAAACAGGGAATTTCATTTTCATATCATCTATTATATCCAGTAGAATATATAAAAATATTTTGCATATTTTCCTGAGTAATAAAGTTATTTGTAACATGTGTTTTGTCCAATTCTAACGTAAATAGATCAGAAGGAATATTGGGAAAACTTTCCCCTTGAAATCGCATATGTGAAACATTACAGTTTTAACCAGAACCCATAATCATTTTAGGGGACCGAGCTGGATCACAATTAGAGAAATGTTCTGTGCGGAAGATATAGACATTACATGCACGAAGAAAAAAGCTTGGTTGCATTAACGTGAAATTTGGCTTTAATGAACGAATGTTTTGGTTCAAGGACACCGAATTCCTGTGGTTCCAAATTTGGTTGTACGGAGCAGAAATTCCGTTTCCTTTAAGCAGGACGCTTTGGTCCGTCCATTACAACCAAACTTCACATTAATACAATCGAATTTTTATCTCTCCATGAGCAGAATACAAGCGAATACTTCCACTTTAAAACAAAATCTTGCGTCAGAAATGCGAGAAAAAGAAATACATGCATATATTAATAAGCGTTGACGAAGGAGACGAAGCTGGAGGACTGAAAGCACGAATGTTCAAGGGCTGCCCGAACTGATTCTATTTTGTCACCCGGCCAATCGCCTGGGCCCGGTATCGCTGGAAATAAATAACACGGAATACATCATCCCGCCGGATTCCCGTCATACTAGCCGCTTGTTCTCGTCACAAATAGAACCCCCGGGAATTACGCCGCGGAGATCGGCGGCACGGGATGGGTTGACGCGGTAATACTGGTTATCATCGCGCTGATTGCACCCATACCTCCCCTGCGCCGCACACTCGCTACATCCATCGACTATCTTCCAATGGTACCTGCACCTGACCCGGTATATTTCCACCCGACCTATTCATTACGACTGCCCTACAACGATCGTTCTCTTTCACGATACATCGACGTACGAAAATTGGCGAGTGGCACGCGGCGGAGATTATGCATTCATACCTGCAAGCACGTCATGAATCCTCCAACCATCGCGAAAAAGCCCTAAAACCGTGCCGCGAGATTACCGTGGCGCTTTGGCGGTGAACGTACAAGTGATGCACGCCCGGCGATCCGGCAATTTTCCAGAGAGGAAGTTTTTACAACGAAGATCCGACGTAATTTCAACGCGAATCGGGGGCGTTTTACAAATTAACTCTTCCGAAGAACTCCGGGCCGGTCGTTACGCTTTCGATTCTAAGTGGCCGGCATTATTTTAATTGCTCGCCAGCTCTATTTTCCCCTCCGAGTGAAATAAAGGCACGGCCAATTGTAGGAATATACCGCGCGAAGGCCGACGAAAGCATCGACGAGATCGACAGTTATCCGAAGTGCCGATCGTAAAAACGATTATGACTGGCTCGCGGGCGCCGTCGCGTTCAACGAGGCGTGAGATCATTCACGTATTGCGGTGCGTGGGCACTGCAAAAAAGAAAGGGGAAAAGGGGCGGAGGGGGAGGAAAGGAGACGAAGTGAAACACGCTGCACGGCCGGTGCGGTCGCGTTATTTGCACTCGTAAACGTTGCCGCACTTCCACACGCCCGTGCGTGGCTCGTGCATTCGCGGCAAAGGTAACGAATGGTAGAAGGCAAAACAGCCACACCTTCCTACGAAATGCACTCTCAAACCTCTCCACGGCGGCGTGCATACGTACGTGTTTACGTAGCGAACGCGCCATGCCAGGCGGAACTAACGGTAACGAACGGTTACGAACGTAAGAGACCGGTTGCCGGAGTAAACGACATTCCGACCGAGCGTTGCACACGGTGCGTGCAGTGAGAGAGGAAGCGAACTGCTCGCGAGATTCCGAAAGAGAGAGTGAGTAGAGTTCAAGAAGCACCGAAGTCGAGCAGATAGAGAGATAAATGGGCGAGTTGGTTTATCTCGGGACTCGTTCTCCGGAGTGTGAGAGTGTCGCCGCACACGACGCGGTTTGCGGGACAACGTGTGAACTTTGAAAAAAGGAAACAATTAATTAAGATAAACGCGTCCAGCCTGACCGATTAAAATAAGACCTGTCCGTTTTTAAATGAACTAGCTGCACTGCAACTGTGATCCTTCTCCCTTCAACGCTATACGGAGAGAATTTTGTAGCAAAAATTGTGCTGCAGAATTTTGCAACCGGGCAATGAGTCGACATTCTGTAGTAATTTATTGTCCTTTCATTTTCTACGTGCTGCTAAAAGTTTTGCCATATTTCTAGCTGAATTTACCAACATCCTTACTCTCTAAAATTCTTGGAACGGAGTATCACTCAAAACGAGCGAAAAAGGGTTGTATTTTCACACGGAAAAATAGTGACAATACTGCCACTCTTGAGATCACTAGAATAAATGTTTCATTCAAACTTAGATTTTAATTTCGTACGAGTGAATATTTCAATTAATTAGAGTGAATATGTCTCTGGGACGATGGAGTCCATCAGATTCATTCTTTAATTTAGAGTGAAAATATTTATTCGGTAATTCATAGCGGAGAGAACTTACTTTATATAAATGAGAAACCTTGAAATGACTTGGTGCTTACTCTATTTTTTAATGAAATTTCACTTCAAGAAATTAAAAGA